TGGTCTAATCAATTACTAATGATTATTATTGTGGGATAGTCCGGCTAATTATTAATGATCACTATAATGGGATATCCAGTAATGACTAATGATCGAGATAATGATCGCTGGTTAGCTTATGCATTTTGGCATAATGATCACCGGATGATCCAGTTAATGATGTGCGCACCGGGTGATGCTGCAGTGCCTTCACCTATTGATGAGGACATAATCTGTCCTGATAGACCAAAGTCAGTAATTTTAGCAATGCCAGATTTGATAAGAATGTTGAAGGAGGACTGTAATAAAGATCCAAAGAAATCAGAGAGGAATTTGATTCTAGAGCCTTTGCCAATGCTGTTGCTCCTGCTTCTCCAATCTGATTATGATAAAGATCCAAAGAAGTCAGAGAGGAATTTGATTCTAGAGCCTTTGCCAATACTATTACCCCTTCATCTCCAATCTGATTAAAGAAAAGATTCAAAGAAATCAGAGAAAAATTTGATTCTAGAGCCTTTGCCAATGCTGTTACTCTTGCACCTCCAATCCGATTTTCTCTCAAATTTAAAGAAGTCAGAGAGGAATTTGATTCTAGAGCCTTTGCCAATGCTGTTGCTCCTGCTTCTCCAATCTGATTATACCCAAGACCCAAAGAAGTCAGAGAGGAATTTGATTCTAGAGCCTTTGCCAATGCTGTTGCTCCTGCATCTCCAATCTGATTATACTCAAGACCCAAAGAAGTCAGAGACGAATTTGATTCTAGAACCTTTGCCAATGCTGTTGCTCCTGCATCTCCAATCTGATTATACTCAAGACCCAAAGAAGTCAGAGAGGAATTTGATTCTAGAACCTTTGCCAATGCTGTTGCTCCTGCATCTCCAATATTGTTATAAGAAAGTATCAAAGAATTAACAGAAGGGTCTGATTTTAGAACAGTTATCAGTACAGTTGCTCCTGCACCTCTCAGCTTCCAAGAAAGATCCAGTGTTCTAAGTGGTAGGTACTGATTTTTAGTATCAAATAATAGTTTTAACTGTTCATATATTTCTTTACATAATGGTCGTTCAACAGGATTTTCACTCCAACATGCTGAATATAGTTGAATATATGTTTCTGGTGTTTCTGGAAAAGGAGAATCTCGATAGCCTTGTCTTCTACATTCTGCCACACTAGCCCATTTTTTACAAGGAATTTGCCCACTAGAAATTTCCCAAAATAACACTCCAAGACTAAAGATATCAGATTCCTTTCCGCGTTTATATGATTGGTCTCTAAGTGATAATGGATCTCTGTATGCTGTAGTGCCTTCACCTATTGATGAGGACATAATCTGTCCTGATAGACCAAAATCAGTAATTTTAGCAATGCCAGATTTGATAAGAATGTTGGAGGATGACTGTAATAAAAGTAGGAGGATAATAATTAGTTTAGATTCATTAGGTTATGCAACTGTGAGTAAAGCAAAGCGCGATCATATATTACCAAGTCCTTGTGAATGATATTAAGCTTATGCATGTGTCCCAAACCGTTAGTAATTTCGAGACTGAGTTTATACTTGTCTTTCCATGTTAAACTACGAAAATGTTGCGCCAAGTGAGTGCGCAAAGTTCCGCCATCAGCAAACTCGAAAATCATATGATAACCGTTATCTTCGACTTTAGATTGAAAAATACATATGTTATGTGTAAAAATACATTGTCATGTTACAACGACAACAATGATATACTTACAGACACCTAATAATCGGATAATATTCGGATGACCGCTCACTTTCTTGTGGTTTTTCAGCTGATGATATGTAAGTCATTAGTTATAAATTGGCAACGATAAAACGTACGCCCTAATATGTTGAACAAAAATCAACGACCAACCTCTTTGACAAGTTTTTTGTAAAATTTTTCCTCACAACCATGGACATTCCGATACAAAGTTTTTATGGCGACAGTCAAATTATTGTGTTTCATTGTTGCCTCAAATACTGCTCCATAGGCACCACCAGCAATAGGTAAACTACGCATATCAATGTCGCTTTTTTGATAACAGCGAATAGAGCCCTCTTGAATACCGTTCTCAATCCATTCCTTATTATAAACATTATTAGGCTCTTCCCGCTGATGACTGATTACTTGAGATTGCAAAGATCGCTCATCAGTTTCCATCTGGGAAGGTTGATTTGGAAACCCGTTTCCTAATTGATTAAAGTTGTTTTGTGGTTGAGGAACTTGATGAATGTTTCCTTGCGACTGAGACATACTTGGATTACCCGTTGGTGGATAGACCTATAATGTCATAGTCGTTATGTGAATGCGTGAACTTAATATACAGTTACCTCACAGTAAACCGAATATACAAACCTGTGATTGGACGTACTCCGATTCTGATTGCTCGATTGGAAAAACACCACGCATGCTTTGAACCGAGTTTTGTCGGTCCAATCGATGTTCTGGTCGCATTGGTGTAAATGATTTGTTTGATGTTTGTACTTCACGCTGTCTCGAATACGGGTGCTGCAACAACCACCGTTGTTGACGTTGTTGCCGATGCGTAAGCGGGTTTTGCCGAGTAGATAGAGTGTCGTTCTGTTGCTGAATAGAACCAGGGAGTAGTTGTTCATACACAGTCAGATAATCGTCTATATTCGGCAACGGTTCGTCTGCCATAACATATGGTGACGGCGGACCAAGCACACTAGCAGGTAATTGTGAAAGGTTGAGCGATGATTGGTATTGTTGAGGCAGTTGTCCTGTTTGCAATTCGTTTGGGAAATCTTGATATAATGAATACTGATTTGAGCTATCAGTGTATTCCTGCTGCATTGGTTGATAAGTTGTGGATAAGGCAGGATATGTCAAAGTGTAGCGATACTGCCGTAGTTGTTGCTCCTGCTGTTGCTGCGCCAATTCTTCTTGCTGTTGATAGTTCCATGGTTGGCTCTGCCAGGTTTGAGAAGGTTGTTGCGACATTGTAGATAGGTTAACTACTGTAGGTTAACTACAAAACAAGAGACTTTACATTATGTCGCACATACCCATTGCATAACCAATGGGAGGTTTACGGATCACTAAGGTTATACAAACGTCAACTTAAAAACGATTAGCAAGCGATTATAGAGAGCAACGTATATAGAACTAGAGTCAGGCATTTGGAGAAAATTCAATGATGCGTGCATTTAGGAGATTTTGTCCGCAATATATTTCAAGTTCTGCTTTATGCATATATACTATTAAAATTATTGTTAAGGAGTGCTTTTAATTGTCTTTTCAGAAATTCATTTCCGTAACAATGAATTTCAATTCATCTCTATCCTATTATTTTCTCTAAGCTCCAAAATTAAACTGTTCTTAACTATTAACTAGTCTCTTTTTTCCATTACTAAAAGTACTGCAATCGACCGCTGCTCATGCTTTAAACGTTTCTCAGTATACTGTATTGATAATAACTTTCCTTATTATTAGTCAAAGAAAAGTATATAGCAAAACGAACAAAATATTTTAATAAAATGCGAGAAGTTTAACGTAAATTACGCTGTTGTAAATAGTAAAAACTCGTTATTGTTTTATTATTCAAATGCCTGGTAATGACTTTATCGACAGCCATTTAATGCACTGTACCGCTCTGGGAGAGCAATCTATAAAATTTTGAGGTTTAACTGTGCGCATTCGCTGACTAACTAAGTTTTTACTACAAAGGCGGTGACTTAATCTAATACTGCTACTATCTTTGGATAGTATATGTCTGGCGGTCATAACGGAAATTAAATGCAACTCTCACCAGTTTATCGAGCCAATCTGTTTGGATCGTTGATTAGATGGTGATCATATCCTTAAAATGTGATGACCAAATGCAGCATCGAGCCATTGAAGGAGGAGACGACATCAGACGGCTAGATATATTCCCCCTTTTTGCTATGTATCACCAAATTTGTAGTTGCAATTTTTAACTTCGATTAGTGATATTTCCGACGGCAATATTACCGCATTTGGTTAAAAACCTCTGTCACTTTTACTACAAAAACGCGAGGTGTGGATGCGAGAAATGGCATCATTTACGGTTCCAAAATATCTAATTCTATCTTATAATTGTTGCTCAATTAATGTTTGGTTGTTGTCTTTTATGATGTTATTCCAAGATTGCGCACATTATTTTAGGGTTAATAGTTACCCTAGCTTTCAGTCGAATAAAGACACTTTCTTTTTATTATTGTAAACCGTGAAGACTTATTCTTGATTTGACTGGCAATTATTTGCGATTGAAAAAAGCCGTCAGCATTAACGGAATCCCAGAGCCGACAATAATAGAGATTTGTTATTTCGTAGAGTAGATTTAATTAAAGTAGTAAACTTTTTCCGGAAACGATTGCATCTAGAAAACGTGCAATATTTACGGACATAGTGAGCAGTTTAGCACTAAATTGTCAAGGAATCGTGAAGGTAACAATCCAAGACATCGTAATATATTAGCTTTCCCGTATATGACGGCACGACCTGCATTACTTCAGCTTTTCCTTCATGCTCACAACATTGTTCGCTTCCTCGTTCTCTGAGAATTTTTTATCTAGAATAATTTAAGTTTATATTACAACTTGACGCTAATGCTGGGACTCTTATCACCAAGATTATTTTCGTTTGATTATTGGCTAATTTAATATGCAGAAATCATTATGGCACTAGTCACACTAACAAAAAAAAGTTTTTTTATCAGCGGTTAGACGTAAGGTATTTGTTAAGCCCTAATTAACAATTCAAGTGGAGCAAATAGTTTTTCTGGGTTTACACTTAAGGAGCAATTGTTCAATTAATGTTATTGATAGATATGCTTTTTCGGTGATCTATTTTAATCGTATGTATGTAATATAAGAAGCTAATTAATAAATCTGTGTTTATACATTGATATCGCTGATAAGCCAAGCTCTTGCTAAATAATCAAAACCATTGCCACTATCGGCCTTTTGTTGATTGTTCTCAAGAATAATGCGAGTCTAAAACCATAATTTACAAGTTGCAGACACTTATCTAATTGAGAAAATAATTGCGGTTTTAATTTATCATGTAGTATCGTAAAAAATTTTTATTGCTTGTCCATTTTTTCAGGAATATTTCCTTTTATAGATAATTTGGACGCTTGGTTAACGATATATTGTCATTATGATCGGTCGTTTTCTATTATTATTCACAGTATATTAATATGCACGCGGGCATTATTGTAGATTAACCTCGCAATGCGCATTTCTTCCCATTACGTTTCCGTGTGGGTAGTGAGAGAGGGGTGGAAGTGCTAGTTACAGACTCCGACACGACCGGAGTAGGTGCATGCACATATGGGAACAAACGCACTGAGGGAAAAAAATTTTATGCAATTTTTTTAAGAGTAACTATCTTTATTTTTAATATCTAGTTGGCATGCCTCTATTCTTCTAGGTTTGTTATTAATTAAATTTACATACGTCTCCTTAGAATTCGCTTCCATTCTTTTACGTGAGCAGTTGTATCCCAATTTGATATATTCCTATCCCCTAAAATTCACAGAGCCCAATTTCCCATTCCTTATAGAAATAAGTATGATGACTATCTTTATCCTGCCATATTAATATGATCGTGTTACATAATATCATGCTATTTTCGAATCTCCTTGATGTACCACATTGTTGGTATCTGATTTTATGACAATAAGGTTAATACATGCACATGTTATACCCGATCTAAAAACTGTATGTTGTATGGTCTGATACAAAAGTGATGTTATTTGGACAATAGTTTTATAAACACAAATTTGTCTACAGAAGAAAATTTTTGGAGACCTTTTGGTGGTCAAAGATGTGTCACAGCTGATGCAAATGTGTATGCAAAAAAAAAGTAACAATATCTACACAATAACAAGCAGATTGTTGACAATTGGACTGAACATCACTTGTCCCTATTAGTGATAATAGTGGTCTCCCAATACATGGACAAGATGTTCCACTACCAGTCTCATAATATCAACCCAGCATTGGTTTCAATTTCCTGTTCAGTGTTCAAACAGCCATACTCCAATAGTAATTCCATGCTCAAATTTCACTTAATTCTGTTATAATAATCATTAATAAACACAAAAAATATTTAATTTTTCACAAACAGCACAGCATGACAATAGGAAATTCTGGGCATGGGGTCCAAATTCTTCCCCTTGTATTTGTTTATATGTGATTGTTTTCCAACTAACTAATAATCTGCAAAATGTGCTTTTTTGAAAATTATAGGTCAGAACAAGCTAAAATTTAATAAATTGGGAATTTTCTTAATAGATAACTAGAGGTGTGTAAATCATGAAAATTTCAAAGTGGTCAGAGACTTAAGTACCCACTGTATAACAATAAAATATTGGTCATTTGTCTATAACTTACATGCATGTAAACTACTTTACATGATGATAATATTTAAAGTTGTATAACAAAGATTTTATAATTTGAAAATTCAATCATTTACAAAATATATCAACAGATCACATAGCAATAACTTGCATGTCATGTAACTAATTGGTACACACAATTACCTGCTGCTAAAAATTTGTTATTTGAAAGCACAAACAACTTATTAAACACACACAAATTTATCAAAATATCTTGCCACTCTGTTCAATTCTTATAAGGTTATTTTGTGCCTTGACATATCCTTGCTCAGCTGCTTTCTGATACTGCTCAACTGCTTCTTGAATATTCTTTTGCACTCCTTTCCCATACTCATAACAAAGACCAAGATTAAATTGTGCCCCAGCATGTCCTTGTTTAGCTGCTTTCCGATACAGCCTGACTGCTTTTTGAATATGTTCTTCCACTCCTGTCCCAGACTCATAACAAAGACCAAGATTAAATTGTGCCACAGCATATCTTTGCTCAGCTGATTT